AACTCCTCAGGGCTTTTCCTGGAGATGCAGCGGCCGAGTTCCCCACCACCCACCTCCTACTGGACACAGGAAGGGTCTGGAGAACGGTCAAAGAGGCCCAATAGGCAACTCCTACACCACCTGCCCACATACTCACTCTCCTACTTACCCACTCCTCCAACAACCGACCCACTCCCTTACGCAAGTACCCTCCCTGAGACCCATTCTCTTACCCTCTCACGTATCCGCGCACTCATCTAGTCACTCACTCAAACACCCTTATCCACCCATCTTCCCACATTCCTATCCACTCTCCCAGCCCTACAACCTGCGCTAAAAGACATGAAGTACCTAATTCCCACACCACACCATACCTCTCTCTCACACCTACCTACCTACCCACTCACTCACTCATCCACCCACCCAGCCATTTAGCTACCCAACTACCCACTCACTCTCCCATTTATCCATTCGCCTACCCATTCACCCATCCACCTACTCACTCAACCACCCACCACCACTCTCACTCACGTACACACACACTTCCTACAGGCATGCGCTAGCCGTAGCAGAAATCAGACCAGGAAATGCACTGTTTAAGAACATGCAGCGGCTGAGTTCTTCACTACACCACACCTCATCCACCTATGCACCATTCTTGCCTCGCGATTCACATTTCTTAGGGACTGATTCTACCGGTTACGATAGCTCTGCTTCAACGCTGTTGTCTTCACAGCATCATTCTCCAGAAGGTCCTAGATTCAAATCCTGATAGTTGCGGTTTCTTGATTGGGATACGGGTCTGGAACGAATTCAACCACAATTTGGAGGAGAATTCTAGTGGATGGCTGCTCCAATATCCAGCAAGTGCTTTAGCAGAACCCTACAAAAAACGCCATGGACCACGGGCGATCTTTCCTTCCTCACCTTTGTTTCCGCCTTTCCCCTTAAACATATACGTACTTACATGCACTTCGCTGCCTCACACGTCGAGATCTCTCCCTCCCTCCCTTCCTCCATCTCTCTCTCTCTCTCTCTGTCTGTCTTTCTCCCTCTCGTTTGCGCACAATTTTATTTCATTATCTATTGAATATTCTTCTATTTCATCTCACGTTGCATTAATAATTAAAAATAATGAAACATGAAAAGTATTTCATGAATTTCATTTCACACTGCATTCCGACGCCTCGTCTGTGGTCATTTACATCACTCTACGTGTGTTATTTGCCTGACATCAATTTGTATAAATCATTAGTATAGCCCTGTGGAATTACTAACATTTCAGAGATATAAATATATTTTATGAAGTTTTCGAATATTTTACGAATTATTTTCCGAGTTGCAATTGCCCCAATAGATGGATAGGATCCCTAAACAATAATTTATTTTGCTTGTAGGAAAATACGACCGTGATAACTTGCCAATGATTACTGTCATTCTACTAGCTAGTCATCTCTTTCCTTAGTCTGCCAGTCTGACGTTTCTGTTAATTTACTACCTGTTAATAATTCTTGTCATTCTACTTGTATCTATCTGCCTAACAGCTTTGTCACTCTTCTTTACCAACCTATTATTTCAAAAACTAAAGTTCTTTTTATTTCGGCCACTAGTCTTTAATTCTTCTTTTTTCGTGCAGGAGGTATAAAAAAAGGTTTTATAGTCAACTCTTAAATCTTTCATGAGACCTTAGTTAACGGTTCTTTTTATCATTTAATTCAAGCCTAATAATAGTTGTCCGTTTTATTTGATTTTAAGGTACTGTAAGTTGTATGTTATAAAATAGTACATAATGAAAAGATAATGTAAAAATGGGTATTAATACAGAAGTGGTACCACTACGCTAGCCAAATAGGATCAATGTGAAATGAGGATCCAATTTATTTTAAATAATATTCCACGCAAAAAAATACCAATAATAAAATAAATTAAAACTGACAAACTTAATACATAAACTGACAAGTTTAATGTTAAATGCAATTTTTATGTACACAATCAAACGAAACATTTACTAGAATTTACTTCAATTATTAATGTGGAGTCAATACTTGGTTTGTAAACTTCTCTGTGATTGGTCAAGAACTTGTATCATAATGAAATTTGTATCGTAATGAGTATCATTATGCAACGGGTTGCAGCCATCGAAAGACATAATTGTGCAAAGAGAGTACAAAAACACATGTCATGTATCTCTTGATTATGTCCCGTGAATTAACAGTCGTGTACCCACTAAGTGTCCCCGATAAATTCAGCTGCCACTGATTTCCACTTATCCAACGTCGCCGCCCGTTTGTCTCTCTCTTGAGGTAATTTCAAACGAGAACACTTTAAGTTCCCACACAAAGAAAATATATTGTTTGGAAATTGTTGTAAATAATCGGTAAACAGTTACCTGCTCGCTTCTGCGGATATCTTGTTCGTATTTTAGAACCACCCCTTAATTGTTCCTTCAAATACCTTCCCCCAGGCTTTGCCAATCTTCTAATCTCTTGAAGGTGATACTATTTGGAGATTTAAACGAGAATATCACAATATCTCGATCTCCATTCAGGCATCCATTTCTTACGAACTCGAGGCAGTCTCTCCTCAAACAAACTTGCGTTCATAGTAATCGACGCTGCATACTGCAATTGTCTGTTTCTGACGGGCTACACTCGTTACATTTTTTATATTTTTATTTAGTAAAAACACACTACATTATTACCAGAATAGAAAAGAAAGTTTTCATAAAAATGGTCCAATTGAGTAGACAATTTCTTTTTTCAAGAGGAGATTCCTCTGTTGAGAGGGTTTGAACCCAACCCGTCATCCATTAACTGGAAATAAGATGATTTTGAAGGATAAAATGGAGATCTAATTTACGTTCTGTTCACAGATTTACGAGTTGTACAACAATGAGGAACTGGAATATTCGTTACAACCCAAGATAGAAAATTATGTTTAAAGGATGGAAGATAGTGCTTAAGTATACCGTAAGTTTTTTGTATTATCATATTCCTAGAATAAAGAAATATGTGTAATCCTTCTATCTAAGAACCACGCGTTTAGGATCCTGATCCCAATAACCCTTTATAATATTTTTCACTACTTCAAAAATATATCTTTGTCCATCTGTGAACAATACTAGCGCCTAAATCATACACACGTTTTTTCCTAAACGTTTTAGAATCAATACTCAAAATTTGAGCAAGTATATGGAATTTAGATTTATATATACGTATTTGAACAAATCATTTCTTGGCAATTGTAATTTCTGGTTTGGGCTTCGTTAACACACATGACAACCCACCAAGTGTAGTGAAATTCATTTTAAATGATAAGCCAACGTAAAAGTACTTTTCTTCTTGTTCTATTTTGTAAAGACGTAAAAGATATACAATTTCAATGGTAGGGCTGTGATTAACATTAATAAACGACTTTTTTTTATATGGGTCTTTCCAAATCTATTTCACTTCAGTTATAAACGTGTTATAAAATCTAAACTGGTAATAATCAGAACCCATTTAAATTAATTTGAAATTAAGTCCTGTCACTTAAATTGAGAATTTAAATTATTTTAATTGTATAACATAAACAAAACAGCGAAATGACACACAGATAATTACAGGCTCTGGGCTGAAAATCCCTTCCGGCATGGGTCATCCCCAAAGCAACTTCTCTTATTAAAATTTTGAACTTTCGCCTTTTATGTTATTAATATCAAACTACAAATGAAGGCTCAAATTAATTTTAAAATCTGCATTAAATACATAAATAAATCTCCATAAAAATGTATTAAAAACAGAAAGTGAAGGGGGACGAGGACGAAATGGAACATTTGCCCATGGACATGGGTGCTAGAAAGTTTATAATGTTCCTAAGAGTTCAAAAGCAAAAAGAATACAAAAATCAAAATTTCCGGAACGTATTTTTCTTTGATCCGCAATCAAATAAGCTCACTTTCTTAAATAAATGTTTTTTAGAGCAGTCGGGTTTCTGTATGTAGATTGAATAAGCATCTTGTTACTTAGAAGTGCTCGGGAAACAATATTTTGGAATAACATGAGTTGGAAATTATACGTTGCATAGCCTCAAGGACATTTTATATTACTCGTGTATGGCGAAGGCTATATTCCACGAAGGTTCTTTTCCAAGTTGCGTTCGTCAGTTTTAAGAAGTTTTCACGGACGTGAGAGGGTTTCTTCACGTTCATTATGGTATGAAAATATATCGATCCTACGTTTCGTTATTTTTGCGCTAGGTTGGCTCTACGAGTGCAAGAAGAGCTCGAGTTGATGTCAGCGAACATACGAAAATCACGGTTTGCTCTTAATAAGATCTGCGCTAGAATCCCTCAATTTCGCTTCCTTCTTCATTCAACCTTAAAGAATAAAATATCAGTAAATAGCTTCAATAACTTTTAACTATTTCCTCAAGAAATAAAATATTGAACTTCATTTTGCCTGTTACAGAAATGATGTATTGGCCCCCATTTCCTTGAAAATAAATTTATGTTCCTATTTTCAGTAACCTCCGGACAGAAATATAATACACTGAGTGATAAGAAAAAAACTCTACTCGTTCTGAATCTAAAGCCCGTTTTACACGGTCATTTTTTATCATTTTTCTGTACAGAAGGGACATTCATGTCTACGCGTTATTGTTTCGGTATCGAAACTGGATGAACGAGCTAGGAATATAGGAAGATGGCATGACGTCACAAACTTGATGCTACCGATCCACCACAATGCTGTGCATAAAACGCTTGTAGTCGTCATAGTGTTGATGTGTGTTATTTGTTATTGTTTTTAATATTTAAAGACTTGATCAGGTCCGCAAGTTTCGTAATAATTCGTCATGGTTACATGTGTAGCTTACTGCTGTACAAATTGTTCGGGGAAGAAGTGAATTGCTTTTCTTATGTAAGTAGTTACTTTGAATGGTTTGGAGAACAGTAAAATTTGAAGATATTGGCAGTCTAGTACATACAGCAAGTTATGCTCGGTTCATTTTCAAGAAGATTTTGATAGAATAAACATAAGTTTGTTCGCTGTTCCAATAATTTTGGCGGCTTTTTTGTAACACCTAAGATAAGTGAATTGTTGTCTGAAAATAACTGAAATTGTCTTCAAAACGATCTGTTCGTTTTCTGCCTGTCCGTCTACAGCCACGCAAGCGCCTAAAGCGTTCAGCTGATTTTCTTCAAAATTGATACGATAACTGCGACATTGGCGACTGCGAAGATTTGCTTACGAGACTCGAAGTGAAAAAATAATTTGCTGTTTGAAAACTATTTCTTGTTCATCCAGTATTATAATGTTGTGGAGCATTTAGAAACAATGCAAGAAAGTATGTGCTTCGGCTGCTCTACTAGTTTACTCTCTCGCCTTCATAAGAAGAGAAAGATATGTAATCTTGCGTCAGAAAACCGCTAATTTTTACCAGAAAAACTCTTATTGCCAGGCTCTGGTAACGAAAAAGTGGATAAATCATGTTGCTAAATTTAGAAAAATATACCCTAACTCGTGCTGTAGCCAGAATCTATATTTGTTGGTTCTTGATACCGAAAAATCGATTAACGACAAAACGTCCATCAGCCGTTTGTCTACCTGGCCGTCTGTGCCTAAACCGTTCTGCATATTTTCTTCAAAATTGGAGGCTTTGGGAGTTTCTAACGGATATTTACCTTTTTATGCCTTTGTCTGAGATCGACAACGCAACGCTTCTGTGGCGTAGTGGTATGATTGCCGGCCCGTTAACTAAGAAGATCTGACTTCGAGTCCCGGAGCGGAAAAAGAATTTGTGTGTGAAAACACTTTTTTTTTTATTTATGTACTATAATGTTGCGGAGCGTTTAGAAACAATGCGAGAAAGTATGTGGTTTGGCAGCATCACTAATTTAATCATATAGTACTTGCCAGACCTCGACTATTGTGACAACTCTTATTCTAAAAATATTCCGTAATAATTTGTGCCTTACAAGCTCCTTCAGAATGTCAGCAGTGTTAAGTTTTTATTTATTTGCTTACTTTTTGTGAGAGATCACGAGGGAAATCTCAAAGGCAGAAGAAGCACACTTCGTACTGTATTCTTGACGTTTTATGTTTGCGGTTATTTTGGTTTTCACGCACTGAAAATACTTTACAGTGACCCTACAATTTGAAATGAAGCTTCTCCGTTTTAGTTATTCTACTTTTCAATATTCCGAAGATCATTAAAGTCAATTTAAAATGGGTACTGTCCATTTACTATCGTGTTTGACATATTATGTCGTGCTTTGCACACCAATATGGCGGACTAACTTCCACTGGCAGAACAAGGCAGAGGTTGGCAATGCCACCTCCATCTATTCATAGATCCATGAACGAAAACGAGCGGATTACGGGCATTTCGCTTATTGCACGCAATCGTGATGAAAGTATTGCCTCTGAACGTCGCAAAAAGCTCTGAAGAACAAACTGTTGAACGTAGCATCTATGGTAACAAATTAAGTGAGGTTACGACTGAGCACGGAACGAGACGACATTGGAACACTTGTTCATTTGTTATTTATCACTACATAATCACATCACATTACAATTCAACGCATAATAACGCATTCGGAACTCTTCAAAAGTGTGCACAACACGCATAGCAAACCAGAGAAACGTCCAAAATGTGACGCCAGGAGTGTCATAGACAAACTGGTTGAAATCTGTTCCCAAAAATGAACCGTGCTTGTTTTTCCGTAGAAATTACATCCAATATGGTCAGTCACTTTTCTTTTCCGACGAAAAATTATGGAAAACCGACGATGTAAAACGGGTTTTAGAATGTAACCCATTTATTTTCTCTAGAGTATAAACATTATGAAACAAGTTTGTGTGGTTTCCAAAACCAGAGTATTCGCGTTCAAATGACAGATGTTTTTCGAATGTTTATTAATGTGATTGTATCAAACCATACCTTACTCTAACGAGTACTCAGGATAGTAGCCTATGATCAAACTAATTATTTTGACTTGTGAAAGTAGTGTTGGAAAACAAATCATACTATGTATTCATTCTTAATTTTTCAGTAGCATTCCCGATCTTCACATGGAGAAAGCAGAACAGGAGTGTCACGATTCAAGCTTAACTAGCAAGTATATCTCAAAATCGTCCGACAATAATGAAGATATTTAACAACGTGGATTCCAGATTGGAATAACAAATGTACAAAGTTCGAAATCGAGTTCAAGAATTTGAATGTTTGACCTCTAAAGAAAAAAATTCAGTTTGTAAATAAAAATATGGTCAAACAGGAGTAAAAAATTGTCCAATTATTTTGAAAAGAGATTTTATAACAAAGTATAAGATTTTCATACATTTATACATGTAATTTGATTTACTTTGCAATAGAACATGTAGTTAGTAAATTTTTTTTTAAATGTTCATATGTATTTAAGCTTTGAAAACACCGAATAAAAAAATGAAAAGCCAATATTCAATCTCTATGGAGTAACTCAATAGTTAGCTTAATTACGCTGATTCACAGTAAAATACCCTCAAAATGGATATATTATTTTTCCAGACAATTTTGTTTGTTTTTTAACCCTTTAATGCCGGAATTCATTATTAATTCAAAAATGTTTCATTTCGAGTTTCATTATGTTATACAGTGGCTTAGATGATGAAATGGATTATTTGTTATTTTCAGTTTTCAGTCACAAGTTATGGAAATAACATCAAAATAATATTTTCTCCCGCCTCTCTCACTACCTCGTCCACCCCTCCTCATCTGAACTCTCGTATCCATCCCATCCTCCGCCTTTGGCTCCGTCCTTTGCTGTGCACTCGCCACCGTCTCTGCCTTCGCCCCCGCCTCCATCCCTTTCGCTTCTTCCTCACCGCCCCCGCCAATGCCGTCGGCTCGCCCCCCGTCTCCGCCCCGTCAATGCACCACCACGGCCACGCTTTCATCCCGCCTCTGCCCTCGGCTCCGCACCTCCCCTCCGTCTCCCCCCAAGCACTCGACTCCACCCTCCCCTCCCCGCTTTCGACTCTCCATCCCCAATCTTACCTCCGCTCTCACTTCCACACTCGTCTCTATCATCGCCCACTTCACGCAAATTCAATGGTTTACAGTTTATTTATAAAAAGGTTAAAAAGGTTGTGGAAACGCCTACTGAACAATAATGTTCCAGAGAAGGTGTCGAGTAAATAAATTAACCAAAACTTTTCAAAACCCTAATAAATTGATCATAATTGGCTATTTACGTACTATTGAGTTCATCATAGTATATATTAGCTGTTAATTATAATTATTAATGAAACTTAAGCAATTTTCTTTCAACACTGCTATCGAAATTTTATATTTTTATTTACACAATTTTTGATGTCATCCAAAACAAGTAATACACTGTCCGAAACCTGTAGTATCGAAACAACAAACTAAAGTGATGTTTTTAGATTATAGGAAAGCAAAGTAAATAAAAAATAGCATATTCACCACGAACATATCAAGCAAAATTATATGATGGTTCAGAAATGTACCTCTAGGCTTTAAAGGGTTAAGACTAAAACTTTACTCTTTCTGGGTATTTAACACCATGTATGATAGGACAGATGAAGTGGGATATAATTTTCGACAACCACAAAAGGTGCCCTACTTTCATAAAGGGATCTGTTAGTACGAAATTGCTAAGAGTAATTCAGATTTGGGGTGATTTTGATGCTAAAAAATGCATGTGTTCAATAGACTCTCATATTGTTTGCTTAGATTTGCGGGTATGTACGTGCAACGTTTCTCTTTCTGAAAAGTTCTTTATAAATTTCTTTGTTCAATATGCAAGTTTGAAAACACATGTTTAGAGAAAGAGAAACCACAGTAGAAACCAGAAAACGCTTACTAGCAACTTTGATTACACTGCTCTGAAATACACCATCCACACATGAAGGTGACGAATTCGATCATCGTACGTACTGTCGTTACCACAGGTTGACTCAAAACAAAAGCTTCAAACAGTGTTCGTTGAACTCCGTCCATGAGCTGTAAAACAGTTATATTCTCCTAGTACGGTAAGATCGGCGTAGTGTCTTTTTAATGGCTTTAATTTCGGTACGTACCTAGCATTGTCGCTAAGCAGATTGCGGACCGAACATAATAAAACACGACTGTGTCGGTTTGCATAGGTTGCACAACCCCTAGATAATCCAAAAAAGTTTTTATATCATAGGAATTAAATTTTCCTTTTAATGACATTCAATATTCAAGATATTGCAGCACTATTGATGCTTATGAAATCATTTTGAAGCCGAAGGGCTTACAAATTGCACTCTCTGCGGCGTCTGGTGACTCCCAGGTATTGCACAACGCTCTTGGCTCTAACTGGGTTTATTTCATTTACTCTATGGCCCATCGCTTTAACACGGAGAAATATAGCCTTTGGTGATGCAACCAAATGAGTGAGAGCAGTAGAGTAAGGAAATGGTTGAGTGTCCGCAAGCAAAACTTTTATCGGGGCCCCCTTAATGTATAGCAAACACAAGTAGAGTTAGTACCTTGAATAATAAATATATCCTTTACCAAATTCGAATTCATCAGTCTATAAATATTAATCAATAGTGGAAAAATATGCCTTTATTATTTAATTTTACGATATTACGACCGTTATAAAACCTAAATCAAATGCTTACCTTTATTCATTTAGAAACTGGGAAACAAGCCACCGAAGAGGCAAAACTCATTTTCCTGGAAGACGCTGTTTTTATTTTTTTATTGTATCAACTATCGAAAAGTATCGGAGAAAGTATCAAGTAATTAATATTTATTACAATCGCAAATCCTTCCGCCTAAAAGTAAGCCCTCTTTTACCTGGGTCTATATATTACGCCACTGGGTGAGGGGGAGAGGGACTTGACGCCGAGCGCTATGGAACCGCGGGGAATATACATGCGCATGATTTCTTGAGCCCCGGATTACCTACCCCTACTCCTTTGCTAGCATAATTTGAATTTAGCATAAAGTATTGCAATGAGATTTGTTGACAAAATCCGGTTACCAGAAATGTTCGCTCCCGTATAATAGAATATTTTTTGCATAGAAAAATGAGTTACAGATTTTATATATTCCTGTCTACAAAATATTCCAACTCCACACTATCGCATCTAGCAGAGTGGGCTCAAGAAAACATGCACCATGACATGGTATAAAATTATACTGAAAACCAGCAAATAGTTTCTACGAATTATTCAATCGCACCGCTGGAAATAATATAGCACATTACAATTGCAACCATAGTTGTAAAATTTCAATCAAAACTATTAAAACATTAAAAATTGATCATGCAGTTTAATTAAGCAAAAATAAAATGGGGGAATAACAGAAAAATATACAAAAAATAGATTGTGATGTGAAAGATAATAGGGAACAGTAGGAGTCAATGATTACAATTTCTGTCAAATTAAATATAAAACTTTATATGTTGGAGAGAACCAAACTGTTGATCTTCTTGTTAAGCAATCGAATAATAAAAGGTTGGCTCAGGTAATTCAAAAAATGAAAATTAGAGAGAAACAAACATTGAGACTCCAAGTATCTTTATAAGTTTAAATATTTCAGGAAATTATTTCGTGTTGGTTTGGATTTCTTGCGACTTTTCCTTTGAAAGCTTATATCCAATAACCATAAGTGAAACCATTATCACAAGCCTCCTAAAACGTGATTTGTGCTAACACATGTACCCTAAGCTCCATTTAGAAAAGGTACGTTCGGTGGGAGGGATTTCAAAAGCAGGCTTGTGTTGACACACGGAACTTAAGTGCCAAGGACTCCCAAAAGTAATTAAAAAATAAAAAAAATTAGTACTTTCCGAAAATAAAATAAAAACCTTATAAAAAGTGATTAACCCTTAAGCAAAAAATTGGCATAATTGAGTGATTTGTTCGCATCACTGGATATTTGTAATATGGAAAGTTGCAGGTTGACATGAGAACATCACACAATGATAAGCATTTTGTTTGTTTAAACTAACTTGTCTTCAAATTGGAGAGAGGGGAGATACATTAGAGTACGAATAGGAGGCATCCAAAGCTGTTAAAACAGCTCTGTTCAGAAGGAAAAATAAAATAATAAATGGAACCCTGAAAATCCTAGGACCAATGTGATCTACCTGTATTCTCATATTCTCCAATGCTTCAAATTCTGTAGAAAAATTAAGCATTACATATACTAGAACACAGATTCATCACATGCCACTCACAACCAATTCCCAATACCCTTCCACAATTCCTAATCCCCCGCTTGCCTTTCAATTCCAGATACTTGGCAGAGAAATTCTGGATTAGTCTGAGCAGACAGACAGGCGTTCATTTTGTATTGAAGAGTATGACAGATCAGGTAGAGAAGCTTGAGAGGCAGATGACCAATCACTTCTTGTATCATATTAAAGCAAGCATGATCATTATTTTGAAAAGCACTGCAAGAGATTGGCGTATTTTCAATGTCACCTTATCATTGTGGAAAAAAGACTGTACAGAAAACCGTAGTTTTGTTTTAAATTTCTTTCTCTTAAAGAGACTAAATGATTTGATACACAAAAACTATGATCAATGCCAATAACAAAGGATTCAAAATTAGCACTATAAGTAAGAATAAAAATGTCTTCTACTTTCCAGTAGCAGAGGCAAGTGAATTAAACAATGTCTTGCAGTAAAATACCGCAGATGTAAAATGTTTAAATTTTATTTTAAATAAATCTTTTCTACCGAAATTTATAACATTACTTTTCATCAAGTTTATTAATTGATCCATACATATAGTACAGAACTTTTACATGCCCTCCACTCAGAGGTAAAAATCAACAAGCTGTTCACTGACAGGTCACAATGACATAAATTTTCAAATTCAGATGATTTTTTTTTTCTTTTCTTTTCTTTGTCTTCTTTGTTTCTAGTTTTTATCTTCCAGTTTCATTAGGTTTCCAATTGAATCTGAAATATGAATCTATATTTCTGTAAATATTTTAGAATTTAAAATTTAATATAAGTGAGCCCAGGAGCACAATTTTATTTCTATAACTTAATATTAGTTATAAAAGTAGTCAATATTTTCAACACACATCACATCACTGACAGTTATGAAAAACAAATAAAAAATATATCAAAATTAAATTACAACCCAAAATATATTTCGAAGCTCAATCAAAATATAAATTTATTTTCATTTGCACCATTAACCTCATTTGCTCATGAAAAAAGCACAGATGCCCACCAATAAGCACTACATACCAATTACATACCACAGGAGAAAGTTCATGCCCTCAAAATTTTATTTGTGAAATTGTGTACTTTATACTCTTTATTTCCAAGAAATTTATTAACAATAATTCCCAATCCAATAGAAATTAGTAGTTTCATATCAAATGCTCCCTTTTTTTTTTTTTTTGGAGGGTCTTTCATAATTGGAATATATGATAAATGTTCCCATTCCTCATTATTTTACACATTTCATTTCTTCCATACATCACTACTATTCTTGAGAATTATATCATCAACTACATGAACACAAAAGCAAAGTTCTGTCTCAAACTATTTAATTTCCTTCACAAAAATAAATCTTAAAAATTTGGGTTTTACAATAAGCTCATAGAAAATCTAATGCTTTTGTAAACGATTAATTTGGAGATTCATTGTGAAATTAGTTGTTTGGATGAATTACTTTTTAATTTGTAACCTTAAACAAGTAATCTTCTGTATCGACATCTCTTTGGAGAAAAAAAATTATATCTAACTTGGCAACTTAATATCTGGCATTTGCTCAAAATCACGAAGAAAATACTATTACCACAAGGATATTATTGATTAATTTCAACATAATTCATTAACAAAGCTTGAATTAATCTAAACATCTTTATTTCCCATCAATTCTAAGAGAGGTTAAAATAAATATTTACCGTCAATACTTTAATATCATATCCACTATTCATTTGAATGAAACAAACTATCTATTTTCATGATGACATCAGCGAAACTTGACTCCTGAAGAGATAAAAAAAATAAACATTTTTTAAAATAATTTGACTTTTCATACTGATCTACCTTCTCACCCATAAATTAGTGTCTGAGTAGTCGACGAACAGCTGAAGAATTAGCTAGATCTAATGGTCTCTTCCCATCATTGTCCTTAGCATTGATTCTCGCTCCTTCAACTAATAACAATTCTACCGATTGTTCACGACCAGAATTTGCAGCAACGTGAAGAGGAGTACGCCCAGATTCAGTTTTGCTCTCAATATTTGCACCTCCATCCAACAGAAGAGAGATGCATGAAGTCAAACCCCATCTGGAAGCAGCGTGTAAGGGTGTCCAGCCTTCCAAATTCCTACAGTTAACAAATGCTCCTTTATCAAGCAGCAGACACACAAGATGACCATGCCCCCTGAAAGCAGCCCAATATAAAGCAGTGTTTCCATAAGAGTCACAAGAGTTAATGTCTATTCCTGAGTCCAGTTGTGACAGCAATGCTTTTAAATCACCTTCCTTTGCTGCTTGGATGAGATTACTGACTGAGTAAACAGGCTGGGTTGGGGAAGATTTATATACACAAGGTTGGCGATCCCAATTTGGAGATGCAGATGCAGATGCAGAAGCAGACGTTAACATTGAAGTACCAACAGGAGAAGTAGAAGAAGAAACCATATCTCCTCTAGTTGTTGTAGGCGATTTTGATGTCCCGGTATGAACAGTTGCATCAGAAGACAGAGACTGTGCAAGTGGAACACAATGTTTAGAAGGTTCTGCATGAAACACCAGAGATCGATCCTCCAGTTGGGACAACAAAGCTTCTACACGAGGAAACATAACCTCGAGAGCTTTATGCACAGACTTTTCAAGAATAGCCAACCTCTTGGGCAAGATATCCCCATTTCCTCTATCCATCTCTGTGATTCTGTGGTGTGTTTCACATGTTACAAATCCTTCTTTTGGTACATTTGGTGAAGTTTCCCCAGTCTCCCTGTCTCCATCTCTTTCTCGCATCTTCTGCTCCACATCTTCAAGCCTTGCCCCAACTTTTGCTTCCACAGCCTCTATTACCAACCCCTCCAACCTCTCTTGAACCAGTGCCTCCACCCTCTCCATCATCATCATCTCCAGCCTCTCCTGCAGTTGCCTCCATCTTGTCTCCATCACTGTACCCAAGCTTTCCTCCATCTGATGCCATCGCTCCTCCGCACTTCTTTGCGCCAACTGGCTTCTCTCCATCTGGGCCCAAACTTCAGTGAAACGACTCATGCCCTCCTCAATCAATCTGGCCGCCTGGCCAAAATGACCAACTGCATCTTGAATGCTCTGCATGGAATCGTTTGTTCTGCTATACTCCTAAACAACAAATGCCACAAAAAGGGCTAAGTCTGAAACAAAAAGAAAGAAAGAAAAAAAAGCAAAGATATAAAATATGCTACATTTGAGAGCAGTTGTTGCTACTAAAACTCTTACAGTTAAATAAAAAATTTTATCTTATGTGATATATAAAATCAAAAGCAATTCTCATGTTTTTCAAAGAGCTTCTTGTATACTTCTGTGTATGAATTTAAGTCAGTCTGTGATTAATCTCATTAATTTGATCATTTTTCTGAGATAATATTTACAAAAATAGCCACCTCTGAGAATGAGAAAGTCTTTATCTGAATTAATCTACTTGTACAATTATCAATGTGAAAGTGTCATTAAGAAAATGTGAACTTAAAATTAAAAATATGCCCAAAATAAAGTGTGTATTTTATTTACACCAAAAAGTTAGGTTTACATCTTGAAATATAAACAATACCTTTAATTCCTAATACAACAAATAACCATGTTTTTTTTAATTTCTGGTGTAATTCTTTTCTTTTTTGTAATTTGAAAGATTGTTTTTATGCATGCATAGAAAAAGGTACAATGCTGAAAAGCTGCTCTTCCTGAGGTACAATGCTGAAAAGAAGCAATATCTTTTACTGCACACTACAATTTACATGAGATTGACTGTTTTGTAAGTCGTGTTTTCCGGAGCCCTAAATTTGCTAATTTGGTTTCACAGAAAGAAGCCCTTTGTACAGTACTTTACAAACAAAGAGGCCATTGTCCATGACCTACAGAAATTTGTGATCTGCTTTGTGAAACGCTCTATTTTTATTATAGTTCTCAAATCTGGATTTTGTTCTTCACTTTTCTAAATTTTTTCTACTCTAGATAACCCTAATGATTCTGGTAAACTGTAAAAATAGTTGCCAAAGTATTCAATTTTAGTGAAGTGGTCAGCTTGAGACCACTTTTTTAGCATTCAATGATTTTAGGTAGAGTAATGAAGTGCGAGCCAATACGACAGTTTGCTTTGCATTCCTTTCTCAAATGCAGCCATTCTTGCTGAATTGCGGGAAGTCGCATCTGACTTCCAAAAAAGGAAGCGTCTTCTTAAAACCTTCAACGTGTAACCACTAATAAAGCCTTGCATTGAGTTATGTTTCAACCTACATAGTAAAAAAAACCCTGACGAATGGGGAATTTCTGGTACTGTCATTTTGAATATTAGTGCTCATCAGATCTTTAATGAAAACTCTGTAGAAATAAAATTACTAACTTTAGGGTGATGTAAATGTATATCTTCACACAATGCAGAATAGTGCAAAAGAAAAGTGATGTGAAAAAATAATCAGTTTTGCAAAAAAATATATTTAGAAAATAGTAATATATTTTACTAGTACAAATCTCAAAAAATAAGTTCTTTAGACAATCTACAAAGTTTTGTCTTCTTATGCATAATACACTTTGAAGGAGAGAACACTGTTATATAAAAGGCAACACCTTGTCACCAAGTCCTTGATTAAAAGGTGTGCAAGCTATCAGGAAAGTGTGTGTTAGACCTAACCAGAGAGAGCCAAGGCATATCAAAGGCCATGATACTGCTCTTCCTCGTGGAAACAACTTGTCGCACAGACACATGCCGACATCAGTATACTGAGTGAGATGAAATGCTTCATGCAATTCAAACAAAAGCAATCTCATGTTTGCATTTACCCCCCCCCCATTAAAAACACACACACACACACACCCTAGAAGCTTTTGAAGAAAATATAAACTGAATCATCACAAACATGCTGAAATATGCACAATAAGATTTCGCATATATTCATTCTGCACAAAAAAAATAAATTTATCATATTTTTGTGTATCCTTAAGTTTCAGGGAAACAAATATGGATATGCAAAATTCGAAGCCTAGTCATCATAAATAAGAAGAAGACTACTGTCATAGTGTTTTCTAATTAATTCTACTGCTGTAATAACAAGGCACATTCCATAATCAATATGGAAATTGCATAATGGTGGACATTATGAAATATATTGCCAAAGTAACAACTGATTGCACCTAAAAAGAATCATAAGCAATATAAACAGACATGCTAACAGTAAGCAAGTTAAATATTAACATACTTGCATCAATCAAAAGTGTATGCAAAAAAAATTCTCAATGCTTCACATTCAGATAATACTATTTTATTGCATTGTTGTGACACCTAAGCTCCCAATTGGATGTAACCATCCACAGCCATCCATCCCAATACCTGCCAGACACATGACCAAATAAATAGCACAACATAGTTCTGTAGATCTACTAACAAAAGACGCTAGAATTTTAAATCTTTAAAATTAATTTTATTAAATGATTATGCACCAACTATATTTTTGTCAATCCTGCACTACTGTATAAAATCACAATGTTACTGTGAATCAATATTATGTTATAAGGCTTAATTTAGCTAATTTGAAGTGCATTTTAAGATCTATAGGTTGGCTGTCCTTTCTAATTCATCTGACAGATGCTTCCTTTCTTTACAAGCATGAAAAATTTGTGAAAATAGTTGAATGTGTGTTTGAATTCTAGACCTCTTATTTCGGATTGTATTGTTAAATTGATTTTAATAATGCCACAAAGAATATTTATTTTTTAAAAGCTTAAATATACCAGGTCCAGCAAAGAACTTTACCTTCCACAACGTTGTGTGGCCAGTGTTTGTTAAGAAACAAATTAAAATGCAAGACACATCCCTAGTGCATCTAAAAGAAAATCGCAAATAGAAGAAAAGATTAAACCAACTAGAATACATCTTAATACAGTAATATATTCAAATGTTTTAAAAGCAGCACTGAGCAACTGTTTAGATGGCAAATTATTTCTCATTTGACGAAACAGCAGATTATGTAGTAAGTTTTGTCACTTTTACACTTGTTGCAACTTCTCTCCAAGAGAGTCTATGTTTTCCTTTTTCTAAGACACTAATAGAGATATATGTATGAAATATTAAGTAAATTTAAACACTTATAGACTACCTGGAGGACAAAAATTAACCAATATAAATGAAACCATTTTAAAATATAACTTATATTTGATTAAAATCTTTCAAACATTAATTTTTCTTTAAATTCAATCTATTAGGAAAATGGTCTAGATATTGTGGATCCAATCCCATACAATCTTAAAGAGACCACACGTCAAATCAGAAGAGGAAATAACTACACATAAACATTTTTTTCTCTAGGGATCTTTGTCTCTAAGATCTAAATAGAAAAAAATTCAAAATTAATGTCAATTCTCAATTTCTTTTTTAAATATTATATGTGTGTAAAGTTTTACAGTATTGGCAAGCATTTACAGAAACAAGTTAAAATAGAAGTTACTGAAATGTCAACTGTATTAATCATTTTTGGTCCTTCCCCATTATTCATCCAAATAATATTACACTTTACACAAAAACTATGCAGTCCAATAGTGTAAGACAGAAATGGATTATAAAAATATTATCGAGCACTCTATGACAAAATATACGAAGTAAATTTCTAAAATAAATTAAAATATATTGAAGAGAAACATGATCTCTTATCAAATATTTCTATGGGATACTTTTTTTAGTTCTTGTATACAATAAATTTGCATTTAATTTATGAAAAACCTATGATTTTTTTTCTAACTAACTTCTGGTGCAGCTCAGAGTTCACAAGATAATGATTGTACAAGTCATTCCACATGAGAAAACCTTCAACGATAACCTACTAAACGTAGAGAAATATTTTGCGCATTCACAAAAACAAAGCGCTTTCCGGTGCAAAACCAAGTAAATAAAACTCAATTGAGCGCAGACTTAATGTGAATTTTACTAGCTCCGTTCGTGTAACAACACAACACAGATGTCTTTGGCTTCCTTCATAAAACATTATCTGATCCAGCAAAATTTCGAAAACTTCTTTGCATTCACGTAAAGTCAATTTGATTCGTACACACCACCTTGCCACTTACGACTCACCTTACACATTCGTTTGATTATAGATCAATTTAATTGATCTAATGAATTGTTTCATCCTCTCAGTCCCATCCAAGAGGCCGTATTTTCTCCTCCACAAATATTCGTACAAATTTGGATTAAATTGTGTTTCACTCTGTCTACCACGCAATTTCTTTTCAATTGCACCCCACAAGCCTTTGTTGGATTTGTTGATGCATGTTCTTTCTTCAGGATCTTTGAAACTCAAAAGAGTCGTTCTCGCGCAAAGTTCGAAAATTCTCGTCATCTAGACAGCAATAAGAACTCCAACAATTGAAGATCACAATGGATCCCGGTTTGACGAAAGTCTTAATGACATCTAGAAGAGGTTCTTTGCTACAATTTTCAACTATCCTAAAAAACCAGCGAAAAGAACCACGTTCAAGTCCTCCATATACCCAGTTCCCATTCACACATATACCTCTTTCGTACTTCCTTCTATCTAACATTTTTTCTTCTATTTCAACATCAACACCCATTCCACCGAGTGATTCACTTTCAGCGATTACACTATTCTGACATACCTCCTGGCAATAACTAGACCACTCTGTCATGGTTCCGGTACTTACACACGCATCATTCATTATATGCGCACACTTAGCTTCCATCACCCACATGTAGGTGATGAGAAGTACCCGCCATATCTCCAAACGACTTTCACTAAACCACGATCCTTATCTCACAGATTGCTTGCATGAATGAGCCTGAGCATTGGCTCCACGATATCTGCACATCCACTCATATCCATCAGTTAAGTCTTTTCGCGCGGTCAATGCCATTCCATCATTACATTTGGGACATACGGATCGAGACGCAATCAATTCATATGCTTGACACCACTGGATCACATACAGTTTTTTATCTTCTCGCCGCATATCAGAAAATAAACAGCCATTCAAACACTCCATAACGCTACGAAACACACGAGTGCAAAACAAAAAGAAATTCAGAAAAACTAACACAAATTACACGTACAACCACACTGCAATTACATACAAAATTATTGGTATTAAGTTGACCAGAATCAACAAGGTTTGTAATCAATATTAGCAATAATTGTATTGAATTTATTAATCTTAAATAACCTCACTAAACACCTGACATACAACCTGAAACAATATTACACCGACGTATCAGACTAAACAAGTTTACTGTATCCAACCTCCTTGTCTTCTGTAGTACTAGAATACGATTTAATTAGTTGTGCACTTGACGTAAATCAGCTGTTGCGGTTTCATCCATTCGAGAGCATATGTCTCTACCAGTCGCTACAGTGACGTCACTATGGGGTCGGTGAAGCTCTCGATTATATGAAAACGCACAGCTGATTAAGTTAAGTGCATGGTTAAATAAATCCTAGTATACACACGGTGTAAGACAATTGCCTTACAATGTGCTTCTATTCAAAACGGAGCTTCTGATTGGATGAGTGTCCCCCACTCTGCCAACTTCATACCTTCCAAGAGTCACTATTTTAAATTGGACAATGCACATTAAAACCATGTCCGCACGAGACTGAACGGAAAGTGTATTCGTAATTAACCAATATTCGCACTGGTATTCCAGCGCAACCCAAAACAGTATTATCGCAGCATAAATGAACATTATTATTTTATTATTCCAAGTTCATCAAATACAGAGAAATACACAGCAACGTAACACAAAATTAAGAAACTGATATAACTATTTTGTCCTAGAGAGTCACTAACAAAAGTGTGGTTGATATTTAACAATCCATCTTAGCAAAGAAACATTACCTCCAATCCAACTAGACTGTACTCCTAAATACAACGAAACTATCTATTTGCTGTTGGATGTTATTTAGAACAATTTTTCACAGTGATCGCTTTCTTCATTTCGGCACCTACACATTCGTGACGTAAGAACACTCAACTACACTTACATATTAAATATGCGACAAACTCTTCTGTACAGATGCATTCACAGTTTGCGCAGAATCTACAAATCTATGATTTTTCATGAAACATACACACACATGAATAGATTTAATGTAAAATCGACCTAAACAGCCACATCGTGTAACCACACAGCACCCACGAGTAAAGTTTACTCAGAAAACCAGCAGTAAACGATGGCCACACTCACCGGGCGCGACACCATCGACTAGTAAGGCATCTCACCACTCGTGTGCTCCCATGTATTTCTGTCAATCCCTCTCACTGTGCACATTTAAGTAGGAGTTCAAAATTACATTATTTTTCGCGGCTTCTCTTAAAAGCCATATTGAAAATTAACTGCTTTTACTCGATTCTTAATCGTAATTAACTGCTTTATATGGTCTTATGCTTATTTAAGTAGACGTTCTGGGTTTTCTTTACTAAAAATCAAAAGGTATTCGATTTCTTGAAATATGTTGCTAGAGTGAGATTAATCATAAATGTCAAGAGCTAGGAATATGGAACAATCATAATAATTACATGGAACAATTGTTAGTATAACACATTTATTTAATTTTTAAAAGTATAAAGTATAAATAGGTTAACAGCAAAAGAAAGCATTGAAAGAAATGATAGATTTAACAGTGGTGATTAATTACACATTGAGTAATGACTGATTCAAAATATTTGCAATAAATATATTTACTTTATATATCAAGCCAGTTGATCCATTACTATTGAGAATTTAACAAAAGCAACATTTCAGCACTTTTTCATATTCAAGAATTTTTAAGCCCTTAATGTGAAACTGAATTACTTCCCATTACAATAAAAAATTTCATCACACAATGATCCAACAAATGATATTGAATTTTATTAATGTAACATCATTAATTGAATTTCACAAGAACAATCAATTCAATCAAAATTAATTTTAGTTTTTTCAAATATTTATATGCATTACTGGTTCAATTTTTGCAATATTCTTATTAGATATTATGAGCCTAGCAAAATTTATTCAGTATCTTACGACACAGCAATAAATAGGCAGTGACAAGCAAAGTTTCAGTGGCTACATATTTAACACAAAGCAAATCTGTAAAGCTATGAATGATTACTCTTCTGAAAACACTCTGAAGTGGTAACGAAGAATAATCAAAAAACAATTACGGATTCAAAATGAAATTTAAATTCAAGGTTGAGAGTGAATGCTTCTTTAGAATTAATAAAAGTGAGATTTTAGGAATTAATATACAAAAACAGTGATTTGGATTAAATTACTACTGAACAGTAACAAATTATTGAATCACTTATCACGGAATAAAAAATGAAATAGATTGTTTTCTTATAATCATTGGGGGCTGGTGCCCCAACAGAGTGGAGGTTGCATCTCCATCGAATAACGGAAATATAATTTCAAAAATTCAAAATACGAATATGTGAATGGGTGAAACTCAGAACGGTATGACATTTCATAAATTCTGAAAAATCTGTGTATTTAAGTCAATATTACTGTAAAGTCGTGGTGCTTTGTTTCATTATTAAAACCACTAAATTACATTTCCACTAAATATAGTCTAAAATAAACACGTTTTCTCAGAATTTATAAAATGTCACTTTAACCGTTGTGGTTTTTACCCATTCATATAATAAAATTGAAAGCATTTCAAGTAAATTAATTGAAGCAAGTTAAATATTAGTCTAGATTGAAACACTACTTTCATAATTGTATGCGTCGTGTTCATATTAGGTATATACACCACCACACATGGTTCTGGCTTTGATTTCCCCTAGGCACTTAAGTTAGACGCCAGCTCATTGCAACAAGCACTATTGCCTCGACGTTTCACACAAATAAAATTATTTTATTTCGAAAGCTACACTGCCCTGGTATATATGGCAATAGTGAAAGAGCTTCGACACACATCTATTCACAAGAAAACTTACAAACTGCCGGCTGACCAGCTGCACGCACACTTCCGTGAGACCAGAACGGCCACCTTTACACAAAGATCTTATCAAATGTACCTTTTGAATCAACAATCCTAATACAAAATGAAAACAAATTCTATAAATATAAACGATGCATTAAATATTGCCGATAATTGACTGAACTTGTGTACATTGAAAAACGAGCGAAATTCATTAAATTACGTTGAAACGAATCTGACGAAGACAGAATATTGGGGTTCCCCTGAAACTCCCTCGGTCGCCGCGTTGCCATAGACCGCGCCACCAGCTGGTTGGCAACCAAAATGGCCTATGTCGCTCTATTAAATCGAAGGGCTAGAGAGTAAATGCAGTAAACCCAAAAATACAGCCGAGATCTGAGAGCGTGGTGCAATACCCGGCAAGCCACCAAACACCGAAAAGAGCGCCAGATGGACGCTCTTTGGTTTCCAAATGATTTCATGTTCATCTATATTGCTTCTATATCTTGAATATTGAATGTAATTAAAAGGAAAATGCATATTCCAAAGATATAAGTTCTTTTCCGTTTGTCTGGGGGTTGTGCAATCGTGCAATCTAAGCAAGAGCCACCACTGGTTACAATCAGCAATTTTACAAGTCAGATCAGCAAATCAATGGCCTCAAGCTCGAAATCATACCGCTCCCAGTCTGACTCACAAATGCACCCATGAAATAAAATTCAAAATTAACATGAGTGATTGAAGTGAGACAAGCATAAACCATACATACACACAGAAAATATCACTGTTAGTAATAACATTACAATGAATTAAGAGAGTTCATATTTGACGTTTAACTACAATGAAAATCAAAGCAAACCAGTGGAGTGTTACGTAAACGTGGCAATGACCACTTGAGCAATGAGAGTATCTAACAATGAGATTAAGGTGTGACGGCCCTATCTTATCAATGTTAAAAAGAAAGTAACTTTATGACCCATTTCTCAGGAACTACTGAAAACATTTTTATGAGTTTTGCAACACTTATTAAGTGATGCATGAAAAGATTACTGATCCCCAATGAAGTTTTTATCTTTATTCTAAAGCAATTTATGTTTTTTCAAAAAACCGATTTTTTCTGAAAAAAATATACAAAAACAATTCCTAATGGACGGACTACAGAATCATGATTGAGGATCCAAATTCTTAGTATAACATGGTTTATCATAACTGAAAATTTCATTCAGAATAGTTTCTGAGAGAATGGGCAAATATTTGGAAATTTTAACTTCTGAGTAAATGGCACTTCAAGTTTTTAGAGTAGCATATGTTAGAGAAACTTAGAATTTAATTCACTAGAGAGTATCTAAAGGCAGCATACATCGTAATAATAGTTTCACTTTTTGGACTAACCTGAGTTTTTTTCTTTTCTGTTGCTTCCATTGGCATTTGTGAACCATTGTAATCTGCCTTTACTATGCGTAATCTGTTTTGTTCTCAACAAATATAAGCACGGTTTTTTCCAGGTGACATAAATAATTTTTTCAGCACTTCTCTAGGAGCACAATTTCTATCATTCTATATTACAATAGATTCAGACATTGCTAATTGTAAGGTTTTGAGACCAACAAAAAGATTTTTCTATATTCTTGTACACATAGTGTTCTTGAATGCCTCACATTCTGCATTTTACCATAGAGACTTCTTATGGAACGTTATGTCTTCTCTTAGTATTCACATAATTCTCAGCTTCTGTATTTACCAACGAGCTAGAATATAATATAGAGTGGCTGAAGCGCCTCTATCTTTGAAGCAAATTGGAGCCATGTTTTTTGCAGTCCCTCTGGAAACAAAGTATACTATCGTTACTTTCGGCGCTAGTTACGGACGGTTACACTGCCACCAGCGAGCTCTAATTGGTTACTGGAGAGAACACCCAATGCTTCGGAAACGGGTGGTATGAATAAAAGTAAGCAATTACTCTTTGAATAAAGTGGGTGAGCAATTGCTCAGTCTCTGAGCACTTGCTCCATCGCTGAGCGCACTCTCAACTGGCGAGCAAATGCTCAGAATTGGTATGAATAAAGTTAAGCGTTTACTCTAGGTTGAGCACTTGCTCCTTAATTTTGGACCTTGGTAGCAGACTCACTGAAAGAAAGGTTAAATTGGCCGATTTTTTACCGTGTGTTGATATGCAGATGCAGCGGACTAAACAAATTACAAGATAAGGCGAAATTATCGTGATGTAGACTTTTAGAATCTTTACCGATTCGAAAAGGACATGTTTGGTTGATACGATTTTTATCAGCGTTTGCTTTCAGAATAGTTTTCACTTTGCATATCTTCTATGCTAATTGGTCTTCGCTCTTTTCTACTCGGAATTTTTCAGGGTACTATTTTTCCAAACTTTGTAATGTTTCGTTTCGGCCACAGCGAACCTCCGGAAGCTGGATCTTTTAATATTCGCTTAGTATTTCGGCAGAAACTAACTGGGCCTCTGGTGCCTGTTCTTCGTTACTGCATTCATATTCGAATTTAAAGAACGAAACAAAACATTGCGCTTTGCTCCGCACAAATGTGCGCGACGCGCGTAACATATGTAACTTCTTTGTTAGTCAAGAAACCAATTTTTAAAACTCTTAGCCTGCACTATCACTTGTTCGCGTGCAAATGCTCGCGAAACATGAGCCAGTTCTTCGGAGTCATACGAAGTTTTTATTCATACGAAATGGAGCCACGGAGTAGATCACTTTGCTCCGGAGCAAGTACTTCGGAGCAAGTGCTCATTTTTATTCATATGACCCAGTGACGCTAGAGCGACGCCGCCATATAGCCGGTCGTATCTCGATCTCTCTCTAGCACATTGGAATACTATTGAGGCGTGAGAGTAGCCCATATTTTCGTCAGGGGGACTAGGGGTAATAAGAATGATTAAGAATAAAGCACAAATGGTATAAAAATAACAAATGTTATGAATTTAAATTGGATAGCATTAAAATTAAATTTCTCAATGTTCGTAAATTATTATTAATATGAACTCAATAGAAAATTAGTTTTCTTAAAATGCCTGAATAATATATATAGAAATACACATTAAACTAACTTCCTAAATTTTAATCAAAACTGTCTTCGCTCTTCAGTTGTACAGAGAAGGGAGAAGAATCCCTAGAGCGGGGGAGGGGGTGCATGAGCGGACTGAGAGGCCCTTCTCTCCACAAAGTGTTTTGCACACTGCACCGGGAGAGGGATGGCGCTGGCTAAGGGAGGAGGTGGAGGTTTACAAAATTAAAAGAATTGCATTGCACATACTATTTATTAATACTAGATTTCTACTCTAC